CAAATAATATTTTCACTTTAGAACATACAAAGCTTTCATTTAAAAAAATTATGCTGGGTGCCATTGGCTCATGCCTGTAATCTTAACTGCTCAGAAGGCAGAGATCAAGAGGATCAAGGTTCAAAGCCAGCCTGGGCAAATGGTTCCTCAAGACCCTATCTGGATAAAACCCTTCACAAAAAAGGACTGGTGGAGTGGCTCAAGGTGTAGGCCCTGAGTTCAAGCCCCAGGGCTGCAAAAAAAAAATTAAAAGAAGGGTGTTTTGCTGTTACTATTGAAAGAAAAATGGCAGATCAGCTTATAATATAAAGAACAATGAAGAGATATAATTTTAATAGAAAATAAAGTTTTTAAAAATAGATTTAATGTCTTCCTTCCAGCTTTGTCTTTTGTTCTGTTTGGTTTTTTGCACAGAATCATCACAGAAGGAAAGTGTACTGCATGGGCTTCACCTGTGAAATTCATGAACTCCTAAAAGCCCCAGATCGACGGCTGCCTTAAATGTCTATGCTGTGCTGTTGAGAATCGAACCTTCTGACCCTAGGGTGCCAGGGTTTTCCCTCTGAAGCAGCATATTTTATCTGACTAGTTTGCCGGGACTTCTCAGAGATGTTCAGTCCACGTGCTGTCAAGTGGCTGGGGAGAAATCTGTGGGAGGTCACTTCCTGCTGGGCCCAAGTAATGCCTCACAAAACTTAGTCTTTTTGTCTTTCCCTAGCCCTGAGTGTGCTCAAAAGGGCTTTCTAGTACCCATCCCTTTTGTGACAGGTGACTATTGGTAGAGAAAATGGCTTTCATCCTCCATCCTTCTGTGGGGAATAAAAAAGGAAGAAGCAGAGTTGCTCTATTTTAGTCTTTACCAGATCCTTTCTTTAGATGGAATTATTTTATTTAAAATCCTGAAGAGAAATGTAATGACAAAATAATAAACTAGAACACATTAGTGCAAAATCAGGGTTTCCTTACGCTCATTAATTTTAATTTCCTTTATTCTTAATACTGAATTTTCAGTCCTGTGTTTCAACGATAGTCTTTTTTGTAATTTGTTTTTTTTCCTTTTAAAATTTTCCTTTTGTGGAGAGTCTTTCTAATATGTAGAGGGAGTCAAATAATAGCTTTACTACCTAGGATATAAGAGGTGCTCAGTAAATGTCTACAGAAAGAGTGGGACGCCCATGGCTCACACCTGTAACCCTAGCTACTTGGGAGGCTGCTATCAGGAGGATCGTCATTCTTGTAGGAGGCTTAAATGGGTAGGATTGCCACCCAGGACAGTGAAACCCCATCTCAACAGAAAAAATCTAGGTGATGTATCATGTGCCTGTCATTCTGGTGATGGTGGATAGCACAAGGTAGAATTGTAGCCCAGGCAGTCTGGGCAAAAACCAAGACCCTATCTCCAAAATAACCAGCACAAAAAGGACTGGAGATAGGGCTCAAGCAGTAGGGCCTGACTAGGAAGTGTGAAGTCCTGAGTTCAAACCCCAATTCTGGACCTCCCTCCCAAAAATTTAAATAGGGAGAAAGATTGAAAAATGAATAAACTGAGCCTGATGACAAGATTTTGAATTCCAGAATGGATACATTTTTCTTGGCAGGGAGTGTTTAAGACAGACTTTCACTATGTAGCCCAGGCTGATCTCAAACTCAAGATCTTCCAGCCTTAGCCCTCCAAACTGCTGGAATTAAAGGTATGAGCCATCAGCCTGGCAAGTAATACTAATTTAAGTGGCCCTGTGCCCTTAAATGAAATAAGTAGGTTGAGTTGGAGGAAAACATCATCTGTGTGTGTGTGTTTGCTGTTTGCTCAGCCAAGCTTTTTTTTTTTTTTTTGCAAAGGAAGGCTTTTTGATGCAGCTCTAAAACTGTTGCCACATCAACAGTAGTAAAAAAGTAAAAAATTAATTTAAAAAATCCCTTTCTTTTGATACATTTTCTGGACTGAGTGAATATATTTCCAAGATCTATACATGGATTAGGTTTTTAAAGTATATTTTATGCCAGCATTTCCTTAGACATAAGAATTCCATACTAAATTCATCCACCCTTAACAGAATGATTTTAAATTGGTTAGCAAAAATGTTTTTCACTAATGGAGTTGGCTCAAATGATGATAAAGTGCCTGCCTAGCAAACATGAGGCCCCAGAAATGCCAAAGAGATTATAAAAGAAACAAAGAAAGATAAGAAAGATTTTTCTGTTTTAGGTTGAGATTTTGCTACAGTCTAATGTTTGTGTCTCCCCAAAGTTCATGTGTTGGAATCTCCCCGCAGGTGGAACTGGATGGTATTAGGAGGTGAGTGAGGTCTTCAGGGGTGATTAGGTCATGAGGGCAGAGGCCTTTTGAGTAAATTTAGTGCTCTTCTAAGAGATCCTAGAGAACTCAGTCAGTGAGAAGTCATCCAGACACGCAGGCAGGCTCAAAGCAGATACTGAATCGGCCGGCAACTTGTCCTCGGACTTCCAGCTTCCAGAAATAAGTTTCTGTGGTTTTTAAACCACCCAGTTTATGGTATTTCGTTGTAGCAGCCCTGATCAGATTAAGAGATTAAATTAATACATTAATTGATTTCTTGCTTGCATCTTCTTGGACCCCTTCATTGACTGTTACCACGTGCATAAGCTTGAGTGGTTACAACCACTCCAGACCGGGTATTTTGCTTCAACATGTTAACATTTTGCCATACTTGCTCTTTCTGTATGTTCTACCCTATTCTTCCACTGGAACTTCTTCATTGACTAGAAGCCCATCTTCAAATATTTGCGACTATGTGCTCCACCACTATGGAGCTAACTAACTGTGTCACATTCTTGACATGATGTTAATGCCTCCTTTCAGAAAACCTACATCTCCTAAGAACTATGTGTTGAGACTGGAAATCTTAAAATCATGGTAACTGAGGGTAGTGTTAACGCCACAAGTTTTGGGAGAGAGTGTGACCCAAGGGGGAAGCTGTTAAAACAAAATTATGGGTGGAGCCAGGTGCTGGTGGCTCTTACCTGTAATCATAGCTACTTGGGAGACTGAGATGTACAGGACTCTGGTTCAAGGCCAACCCCGGCAAATAGTTCTCAAGACCCCCATCTCTAAAAATAACCAGAGTAAAGTGAACTGGAGGTATGGTTCGAGCCACAGAGTACCTGTTTTGCAAGTACAAGGCCCTGAGTTCAAACACCAGTCCCACCAAAAAAATAAAGATAAATAATAAAAATAAACATGGGAATCCAGTGTTTTGGATTGAGCTCCTGTACTAGGCCTGACCAAATCAAAATGGAGTCACTCATGCTAAGTGTCATGTATCCAAATGAAAGTTTAAAGAAGCAGACAACTACCCAAACAGACCAGCTTTTTTTTTTAAGAACAGGAGATTCTAGTCTACCTCAACCAAATAAGGAAGTCCCCTCTACTTTGTTACAAAAAAAACCCCAAAAAACAAAAAACTTAATGTTAAGCAATAAGTCTTTTTCCATTGTTCTGTTTTCTTGGTCCCTCCTTACAAAGCCCAAGTTCTGCTGGTGCCCAGCAGGAGCATCTCGCATCCCTTCTATTTGTACAATGGAGTGGAGCTACCTCAATTCATGAACCCCAAATAAACGCCAATGAGATTGGTAACTAAATTAGTTGTAATTTTGGATTCTCTGTTTTTCACATTTTGTTATTTACTCAGGGATGGCCTCCAAGGAAGGAATGCCAGTCCTTCCTCAGCCTCCTCAGTGCTAGAATTACAAACCTGTACGACCACACCCAGCATAATTTTGTGTTTTGAGAAAAACAGAAGTTGAGACAATTAAGACAAATTTTCTCTGAGGGCTGGCAAAGTGAGACAAAGAGCTTAGAGTGTAATTAACTCATCCATGCCTTATAGTTAATGCCAATACAGGTTTTCCAGGTCCAGTCTGACTAAACGACCAAAGCACCAGGTAAAAGGAGTCCCTTTAACTTTTAAGACTGTTATTCATTAACCTTGGGCACGGGATGCGTTCTCCATGGTGAAACAAGGGTGGTATTGAACTCAGCACTAAAAACAAGGTTCTTACACATTTTGTTCATTTTTTAAAAAATGTTTTAAATAAACAAAGTGCTTTAAATGGTCTGTGAGTCCAAGATATTAACTGGAGAGGTTTATCAACCCACAAGCAAGGCCTTCCCTGATTCAGAGTCACCCCCAGGGCAGCTCAGGAACTGCCCCACCGCCTCCAGGCAGCCAAAGCTCAGGAGGCCTGGGAAGGGGGTGCTCGGAGGCTGGGCGTTTCGAACCCCTGGCAGCCCACCGCCCAGCAGGGTTGCTCTAGAGGCCTCGCTCCCCGCTCCGCTCCGGAATTTGCGGGGCGCCGCCAGCGACCTACGGGGGTTCTCGGTCTAGGGGTTACTTGGATCCAAGTTCTCAGGACCCCCACATCCCCCTGCGTGATCAGAGGTCTCAGGGTCCTGCACGGGGTCCAGGTCCACTCGCGGCGTGTGAGGTCTCGGGCACCCTCCGTGGGATCCGAGGTCTCACAGGCTTCCCGCGGGGGTTTGTGATCTCGGGGTTCCCCTCTCTGGCTCCCCCATCGGAGGTCTGGGTCACTAAGGTAGTTGAGCAGAGGAAGGTCGCGGGTGCAGCACGGAGAGGTGACGCTTGGCGCCGAGCACAACGCGCCCGAATGTCGCTCGCCTTGCTGCTTCTTGGTGCCCGGCTGGGGGGGTGACCTCGGCGTCTTCATTCTAAGAAAGGTCGCTCTTTGAGGCCCCCGAGCCTGCCAGATGGGATCGTGCGCCCCCTCCCACGGCCAGACGCGGCCAGGAGCTTCTAAGTGGCCCCACGGAAAGAGATCGCTGCCGCGAAGGCTCCCTCGGAGAACCCCGCGCAGCCGCGGCGAGGCCCCGCCCACCAGTGGGAGGAGCCTCGCCGGTTCCCCGCCCCCTTCGGCGGCTCCCAAAACCCGGACGGGCGGAACCAGAGGAGCGGAGGGCGCGCGCTCGCCGGCCGCGCATGCCCAGTGCCCGCCCGCCCCTTCAGGCTCCCCGCGCGCGGTCCCACCGCCGTGATCCGCCGCGCGTCATGGCCGCTCCCGGAGCTGCAGGGGGTGCCATCCTAAAAGGTGAGGGGACGTCCTACTCAGGCAGAGGGTGGGATTGAGGACGCTGATGGGGGAACCCCGTAGCTCGCTCCCCCCAGACTGTTGTATCCGCTCCTGCCCACCCTGCGTGTCCCCCTCCGCCACCCGCGTGTCCCCCCCACTTCCTGCGTGCCCTCCCCACTCCTGTGTCCCCTACCTGCTTATCTCCCCATTTCCCGCGTGCCCCCGCCGCTCGGTGAGCCCCCCCACTTCCCGTGTCCCTGTCACTCTTATGTCCCCGCCTCCCGCGTGTCCCCAAGGCCCAAGGGACATGAGGGGGTGCAGGCTCGAGGGCCCCCGTGGGCGTGGGGAGCCGACTTGAGGAGCTGGCCGGTGCTTGGCTCTAGCGCCTGCGGAGAGGGGAGCCTGTCCCAACTCGATGCATGTGGCAGCTTCTCTTTTATCCGCTCAAGCCGCTTTGTTACTCAGTTTACAGGCAGACGGGCCGAGGCGTGGGGAGGGCGCTCGGGGCTGTCTCCGGCCCCCGCGTCCCCGGGGCCGGGCTGTGCCGCGGGGGAGCGGCTGGCGACCTGTCTGTCCCCCGCCTACTTGGCACCTTGCAGGGGCGCTGGAGTTGTCGGTAGGGAAAGGGGCCCTGGAGTAGAATGAAGAAAAATAGTCGAAAGAAAAGACCAGCGTTTTACACAAACTCTAATCAGATACGGCTATTTTCCTAATATTATTAGTGTTTTGTTAAATGAACCTGGCTTTCCTTAGCTGTTTTTGCCAATGGCACACCTGGAAAAATCTTCTAAAATATCAGCATTTTAGAAGAAAATATTCACTAGAACAGGGTTCACCAAATCTGGGCTGCTGCTTGTTTTTGTAGGGCTTGCAAACCAATAATTTTTTTTTTTTCATTTTCAAGTTAAATGAAAAAAAAAATAGAAGAATGACAAATGAAATATATCAAATTCAAATTTCCTTCTCCATAAATAAAGTTTTATTAGAAAGCAGCTCTGCTGGCTCATTAACATACTGCCTATGGCTACATTTTTGCTATGAATCTGAATAGTTGGAAGATACTATCTGGCCTTGCACAAAGCGTAAAACACTTACTGTCTGTCCCTTTACACAAAGCAGACCCTATGCTGGGCATTTTGGGATTTGGGAGGGAAGTGCAAGACGTGTTAGGAATGTAAACTGTAATGTGTATATGAGTAAAGCTCTTCCTTGCTTAAAGTTTAAAGTGCCATAAACAGCACTATTGCTGTTTTAAATAGGTTTTAATTTTTTTAATTGCCTAGTTGTTTTTTATTGTTGTGCTGGGTGGGAATGCATTGTGGCATTTACAAAAGTTCTTACACTATATCAAACATATCATACTTGAATTCACCCTCCACCATTCTCCTTCACCCCTCCTCCCCTGAATGGGATTTTAATAGGAGTTTTAAATTTATTTTTTAACATAACTAGAACAAGAGAAAAATTCATGGCAGGGGATGTTGAAATTACCAGTGTGTCCTTCAGGCTCAAATTTTATGTGTTTTCAGATGTAGTGGCCTATGTAGAAGTGTGGTCTTCCACGGGGACAGAAAATTACTCAAAGACATTTACAAACCAACTTGTGGATATGGGGGCAAAGGTAAGAAGTTTGTTTTGCTGTTGCTACACACGATATTTGCATTTTCTTACTTAGGGAGCTTTCTTCTTAGAACATGAAGACATGGCAGTGGGTAAGTAGTGGGAGGGAAAAAAAAGAAAAGAACCAAAATATGAAGAATGTAGAACCAGATTGCTTACAGAGCAGCTGGTCTTCGAGGCAGTGAGGGAGAAGGAGGGATCTGGGTGGAACCTGGTACATGGCGCTCCTAGTCAAAAGGAGGAATGCAGGAGGAGCAGGTTTTTAAGGGAAAGGTTGTGTCATGACCTATCAAAGATAGAGGTCAGGATTGGGGGGGCGGCGTCAAGACCTCGGGTCAGGTGAGATGTTGTCCCACTTAGGGCCTGGTTAGAATGCAGAGTACTGAAGGAGGAGGCCTCTTGAGTATTTAAAGGAAAGGGATGGCACCAGTGACCCAGGGACAGAGATAGAGAAAAATCGGGAGAAGGAGGAAAGCCAAGTACGGAAGTCAGAGAAGGGAAGAAATTCAAAGGTGGAGTTTCAGAACACTGCACAGCCTTCGAGAGACGTAAGATAGTGAATATACTTTAGTTTGAAAACTGTGAGGTTAGTGTTCAACTTTGTGAAATTTTCCATGAGATGAGTAGAGAAGATCAAGATTAGTCCAGGAATTGCTGACCGACTAGGAAATGGAGACAGTGAACATTGACTGCTCTGCTGGGGAGTTTTGCATGAGCAAAACATGTTTGCCTGCATGCCTTCATGGTATTTGGAAGAGGCTGGCTGATTGAGTGAAAAGGACCAGAAGATAATGAAGGCAGTCTCAGGATTAGGGTAAGGCAAGCAGGTGCCCTCAGGCCAAGTGAGTTCTTAAATCTTGTACCCTTTTTTTTTTCTGTTTTTTAAATCGCTTTATTGAGATATCATTTACATACCATGGAGTTCAGCTGTTAAAATTGATCGTGTCAATGGTTGTTGGTTGTTTGTTTTGCTTTTTATTCATTTATTCATATGTGCATACATTGTGTGGACCATTTCTACCCTCTGCCTCCTGCCCTCACATGCTCCCCTCCCCCCTTCCAGGCAGAACCTGTTCTGCCCTCTTCTCCAATGTTGTTGAAGAGAAGACATAAGCAATAACAAGAAAGACATAGCGTTTTTTGCTGGTTTGAGATAAGGCTAGCTATACAGAGAGATTCCTAGCATTGCTTGCATGCACAAGTGTATTACACCACAAATTGATTCATCTCTACCTGACCTCTTCACTTAGTTCCTTCAGAGAAAGAGATCAAAGGGGGAGAACAGAATTGAGTGGAGAAGATCAGTACTGATGCTCTTCCACCTAGGGTTATATAAATCCATCATAAGGTAAAATACTGTAAGCTGGAAATGCATTTAATACACCTAAGCTGCATAGCTTCAGCATTGAACACCGTGGCATGTTGGCTCTGCTGATCGAGTAGATGCCACTGCCCAGTATATATGTCCTGCCACATGTTGCCTGCAGGTGAAGATCAAAGTTCAAAATACGGTTTCTGTTGAATGCAGATTGCTTTTGCACCATATTAAAGTCAAAATCGCAAGTGGAACCAGGACCCTTCTGTATAGAGGGTCAGCCCACTTTTGCAAGGAGGAGACACCATTGTTTTGATTCTTTGGAACGTGGGAAGCTCAGGAGTTTCCATCTTAGGAGGGTCAGTGTAGCTTGTGGTTCACTTAAGGACAGCCCTTGGTGTCTCATCCCAAGGTGTAGGGTTTTATTAGAGCCCTTTCTCCTGTTCTGAGATTTGTATTCCCAATTTTGTCCCACCTTCTCCCAAAAGGCATTTAGAAGTGCTGCTTCATGTCTGCTAAATTTGATAAAAACCTCGGAAACTCTCCCAAGTACTAGCCTCACCTTTCTTGGTCTTGTTCTAGAATCTCAGCCTAGTCATTCTTTATTGCCTTGACAGCAGTCATTTATTTTTTTTTTTCATTTTTCTTTTATTATTCATATGTGCATACAAGGCTTGGTTTATTTCTCCCCCCTGCCCCACCCCCTCCCTTACCACCCACTCCACCCCTCCCCTCCCCCCTCAATACCCAGCAGAAACTATTTTGCCCTTATCTCTAATTTTGTTGTAGAGAGAGTATAAGCAATAATAGGAAGGAACAAGGGGTTTTGCTGGTTGAGATAAGGATAGCTATACAGGGCATTGACTCACATTGATTTCCTGTGCGTGGGTGTTACCTTCTAGGTTAATAATTTTTTATCTAACCTTTTCTCTAGTTCCTGGTCTCCTTTTCCTATTGGCTTCAGTTGCTTTAAGGTATCTGCTTTAGTTTCTCTGCATTAAGGGCAACAAATGCTAGCTAGTTTTTTAGGTGTCTTACCTATCCTCACCCCTCCCTTGTGTGCTCTCGCTTTTATCATGTGCTCATAGTCCAATCCCCTTGTTGTGTTTGCCCTTGATCTAATGTCCACATATGAGGGAGAACATACGATTTTTGGTCTTTTGAGCCAGGCTAACCTCACTCAGAATGATGTTCTCCAATTCCATCCATTTACCAGCGAATGATAACATTTCGTTCTTCTTCATGGCTGCATAAAATTCCATTGTGTATAGATACCACATTTTCTTAATCCATTCGTCAGTGCTGGGGCATCTTGGCTGTTTCCATAACTTGGCTATTGTGAATAGTGCCGCAATAAACATGGATGTGCAGGTGCCTCTGGAGTAACAGTCTTTTGGGTATATCCCCAAGAGTGGTATTGCTGGATCAAATGGTAGATCGATGTCCAGCTTTTTAAGTAGCCTCCAAATTTTTTTCCAGAGTGGTTGTACTAGTCTACATTCCCACCAACAGTGTAAGAGGGTTCCTTTTTCCCCGCATCCTCGCCAACACCTGTTGTTGGTGGTGTTGCTGATGATGGCTATTCTAACAGGGGTGAGGTGGAATCTTAGTGTGGTTTTAATTTGCATTTCCTTTATTGCTAGAGATGGTGAGCATTTTTTCATGTGTTTTCTGGCCATTTGAATTTCTTCTTTTGAGAAAGTTCTGTTTAGTTCACCTGCCCATTTCTTTATTGGTTCATTAGTTTTGGGAGAATTTAGTTTTTTAAGTTCCCTGTATATTCTGGTTATCAGTCCTTTGTCTGATGTATAGTTGGCAAATATTTTCTCCCACTCTGTGGGTGTTCTCTTCAGTTTAGAGACCATTTCTTTTGATGAACAGAAGCTTTTTAGTTTTATGAGGTCCCATTTATCTATGCTATCTCTTAGTTGCTGTGCTGCTGGGGTTTCATTGAGAAAGTTCTTACCTATACCTAGTAACTCCAGAGTATTTCCTACTCTTTCTTGTATCAACTTAAGAGTTTGGGGTCTGATATTAAGATCCTTGATCCATTTTGAGTTAATCTTGGTATAGGGTGATATACATGGATCTAGTTTCAGTTTTTTGCAGACTGACAGCAGTCATTTATAAAAGTACTGTCTGTACACTCTTGGAATGGCTAATGGGCACAGCTGTGAAAATCATAATCTAAAGAAAGAAAAACGAGCCATCCTGTGTTCTGTAGTCTTTTTGAGACGCTTGGGATTGAATTTAGGGCCTCTCCCAGGCCAGACAATGGTTCACCAATTGAGCTACAACCTCAGCCCATCCCTTTCCATTTTCAAAAGACAGTTGCTTTTCAATCTGTTGTACCTGTTTTTGGTATTGCCTTCATATTGCCAGTGTACAGTAGTTAACCCTTTTCCACAGGGTCTATCTTCCAAGACTCCAGTGGATGCCTGAAGCCATGAGTATTAACAAATCCTATACTTTGTTTTTCCTATGCATACATACTTATCATAAAGTGCAGTAAGGGATAACAGCAATAACTACTAATAAAAAATAGAACACTATAACAACACTGTAATAAAAGTTATGTGAATGTAGCCTCTCTTCAAATCGTGTATCATACTCACCCTTCTCTCATGTGTAGTAATACAATGCCTATGAGGTGAAGCAAAGTGAGGTTAGGTCTCTGATCTTTTGTAAAATAATGTCGTCTTACCACATGAGCACAGTCTCCTCTGAAAATTTCAAGTCCTTTCATTTTAATTAATGTGTTCCCTTTCTTGTCTCTGTTTCCTGAGTTTCATTTTGCTTCTCTTTGATGTTGAGAGCTTTTCTTTCATATCCTTAGTTGTGTGACATGGCTTCCTGTCGTCCCAGCTGTGAGCACGTGGTGCCCTCTTATCTACTTTTTCTGTTCTGCTCTCTTGATCCTCATGGGGCTCTACTTGACTTTGTTCTTTCTATCATTCTTCAGGGCTTTTTGAGGGGGCATAAAGGTAAACACATGAGTGTGGTTCCCTGTTCTAAGGAGCAGCATTAAGGATGTGCTAGATAAGGTGATTCTGTCACATATTCTAGGAATTGGAATGCTGGGGTAGTTTTGAACATTTTTATTTTGAAAATTTTGAATAAAATATTCTTTTTGATCAATTATACTTAAGAAATTGTGAGTAGATTGTAATGTATATCTTCTTTTCTGCATTTTTTTTGTCTATAGGTCTCAAAGACTTTCAACAAACAAGTAACTCATGTGGTTTTCAAGGATGGCTACCAGAGCACTTGGGACAAGGCCCAGAAGACAGGGGCCAAGCTTGTTTCTGTGCTCTGGGTTGAGAAGTAAGTGCTTCTTTCATTAGTTTCCTGGTATTGCTGAAAATCTACTGTTGCTATTTTGCGTGGTCACAGAACCAGGGGAACTTTGATTTTCGTCTTTTCTTGGCCTCCTATTGGACAAGTAACTTGACATCTTCAAGCTCTATTTCTGTGAGTGGAAAATGGGTTTGGGAAAACACATGTAATCACACTTCTCACACCAAATGTGTGGGTTTTTTCCACACCAAGCCATTCTGCCACTCCTGAACACCAACTGGGTGTCTGAGAGTTCAATTTTGACCTTCTCTTCCTGGAGTTAGGGTCAGATCCCACAAGGTACCAGCTCAGTCCTACAAGTCTGTCCCCACTTGAGATGCCAGTCAAAGTTCAGGTCTCTGCCACTTCTGACTGACCAGCTATAAATCATTGTTCTATGACACCTGCCTTGGTTTGATAATTTGCAACCACAGCTCACAGAACTCAGGGAAGCACTTTACTTACCTGTACTGGCTTATCACAGGGGCACAGAGCAAGGTATGGGGTGGTTGTGCATGGAGCTTCCATGCTCTCCTGCAAATGGGTTCTGCATCCTGAAAGGACCGTTTCCTCATTGAAGAGCTGTGCAGAGGTTAATCTCCAGCCCCTCCCTTTGCTGGAGGTGGGTGAGTGGGACTGGAAGTTCCAGCCTCTAATCCTCATCTGGTCTTTCTGGTGCCTAGCTCCCCCTGGGCTATCCAGGGCCCACCCTAAGCCACTCATAATTTAAGGGGATTATTATGAATAACCTGAGGCTCACTCAGGAGTTTTGAAGGGTTTTAGGAACTCTGTGATGAGACAAAGACTAAGTACCTTTCAAATTATACCAGTTTAGGTTTGTAGCAAAATTGATCAGAAAGTATAAATTTCCACATACCTGGCACCCCTTGCCCCCAGAGCTCCCTTACCATCAGCTTCCTGTGTGGAATGGAACCTTGCCTTCACCTGTCATTGTCACCCAAAGCCAGGCCTATGTTTGCTTTGCTGCTTTCATTTAAATTCACTCTAGTTTTCTAAAAAGGAAGCAGTGTGACTTCTTTGCGTCCGTGGGCTTCACAGAACACTCCATTCATTCTCCAGAGGTCTTTGTGAAATTACCTTTTGCCAAAGACAGTCAGAAATTTGCTGCTACAGTTTTTCCTCCACCTTGGATAGTTACCTGATGGGATAGAGCCAGAACAAGAACACATGGGTTCTGATCTAGTGAGTGTGTTTTCAGGGAGAATGTGAAAAGAGGTTCAACTTCCATCACCATGTGTCTGTGCAGTGCCATATAATTCCTGTGTGGCTTTGCAGGGTGGCTGTTTTAGTGGTGTGGACTTCATAGATAGCCACTTTTAGGAAGAACATTCACAGGAGGCTGAATGACAACTAAATTAAAAAAGAGTAACAGCGTCACGTTTCTATGAAGAAACACCTGAGATAATTAAAATATGCAAAGGGAAGGGCTTATTCTCAGCTCACAATTTTGGACCTTCCAGACTGTGCTGGGCATCTGAAGTGAGCCCATCAGGGCAGGAGCACCTGGCAGTGCAGACTGCTTACTCCATGACAAGGAGCTGGGGTCCCACAGTCACCTAAAGGTTCCTCCCACTGGTTCCGCCATCTCCCATAGGATTATCCTGGGACCAGCCTATAACACATGAGCCTTTGGGGAACACTTACCCAACCATAGCATTAGAGCTATTTCATCAGAAAATGAAGTTTTCTCCTTTTGAAATTCCCATCTGAAACCGTATCTAGGAAATCTGTTTTGAATGTGTCAGAATTTTGCCACATACCCTAGCCGTGCCCCTTGTAGCTTATTGTTCTAACTCCAACACAAGATCTAGTCTGTGATCTCACATTGTACTTAATTGTTGTGTTTCTTTCATCTCCTTTGGTCTGGACTGCTTCTTTGTCTTTTATGACATGGGTGATGTTGAATACTATTCTGTCATTCCCACCATTTTCTTTAAATTAAGATGCCCTTCCTTTGGGTTTGTCCAGTTGGATCAGGGTAATCTTGAGTGATGCCCTGTCCTTCTCAGAGCATCCCACCCTGGCATACTGTTTCCTGTCCTTAGTGGTCATGTTTGGTTCAGCCACCTGGCAAGGTATTTGCTGAGTCTCACTGTGTAATTAAAGCAGCCAGTGGGGAACAGACAGTTTACAATCAGAGATGGGTCTTCCTATCTCTCCCTGCCCTCCAGGTGTAACATCCATGGGTAATTCTTGTGAAGCAGTTTTAACTCTGACTCTTACAATTTGATTATCTTCCAAGTCTACCACTTTCTCCATTTTTTTCCTGTTAGTGCTGGGCAGGGACTGTAATCATTGATTGATTAATTAATCTCTACTCATTGATACCTGTTTTTTTTTTCAGTTGCTTATAATTCATTACTGTTTGGTGCTTAAATTATCCAGATTTGGAAAGTGGGAACTTTAGGATGATTTTTGTGTCTTTGCGTCATGACCCTTAGTGTGTTCTTTTGAGTACTCCCTGGCATAAGACGTTCTAGGTTTATCTCGTGCCTATCTACTCTACCCATGGAATCAGCCATTTCTACAAAGGTCCTTGTTCCTTTTACTGAGGAATAGTGTCAGAGACTGAGATCTGGTTGCTAGCATGCTCAGTGCTACCCGGACATCGCTGTGCTGAACTTTGAGCAAAGTGAGATAGCCATTTTGTGCCTTTCTGCCCCTTTATTTTCCTATTTGGGATTACTTCATTTGTTGACTTTTAAAACAAAAATCTTTGCATTGTTTCCATTTTTTAAAAAACTTTTAGTGATTACTTTAGGAATTATATATTCCTTTTTTTTTTTTTCCCGGTACTGGGGCTTAAACTCAGGGCCTACACTTTGAGCCACTCCACCAGCCCTTTTTTTTGTGATGGGCTTTTCAATTGGGTCTTGAACTATTTGCCCCAGCTGGCTTCAAACCATGATCCTCCTGATCTCTGCCTCCTGAGTAGCTAGGATTAGAGGCATGAGCCACTGGTGCCTGGCCATATATATCCTTTTCTAGGTCTGCTTGAGTTAATATTGTACAGGTTTTGTATCCCATAATCAAAATGCTTAGGACAAAAATGTTCCAGATTTTGAAGTTCTTTGAATTTAGGAAAATCTGCACAGACTCTGTCAGTTAAACATCCCTCATCTGAAATTGTCTGAAATTGGAACTGTTCCAGAATCCAGCATCAGGTTTTCAAATTAATGACATTAACCTGGACCACTTCTGACAGAATACAGAAGTCTAGTGGTTGTATGTGTCCGTTGACTCTGCCCTGCTTTATGTTAGGGTTGTTATTTGCATTATATCTGTATGCATTCCAGGTTCCGTTCTAGTATAACTTTGCTTTACGCAGTTGTATTTTAAATATATTAAGAGAGAACAGCCTGTCATTCGTTGATGTATCTACTATTTCTATTGGTTATCTTTCATTCCAAAGATTTGAGTTTCCTCTGGCATAGTTTCCTTTAAATGTATAATTAAGTAATTCAGTGAAATAATTATTCATTAAATAATTATGAATAATTCTGTCAATCATTTCTTTTAAAAAATTAAAATGAAATTCAGATGTCACAAATTCACCCCTTTAGTGTGCAAATTCAGTGGTTTGAGTATTTCCTATTCACAGAGTTGTGCAACCCTCACTACTGTGTACTTGAAAACATTTCATTAGCCCCAAAAGAACTCCATATCTGTGAGGAATCAGGCCTCCTGCCTTTCTGCCCCCAACCCCGACAACCTCTAATCTACCTTTCGTTTTCATGACTTACCTGTTGTCACACACATGGAATCCTACACTGTGTGGCCTTTCATGTTGGGTTCCTTCAGTTAGCAAAATTTGAACATTTTTTAAAGTCATAGAATGTCAGTACTTGTGGCTGAATAATATTCTATCATGTGGATAATACCACGCTTTGCTTATATACTAATGAGTTGATGGACATTTGCTTTCTTTACACTTTTTGGCTATTATGAACATTTGTGTACAAGTTTTTGTGTGAATATATTCAATTATACATATATATACACATTCAATATACTGCTAGGCTACATGGGAACTACATGTATGCTTAGCTGTCTGAGGAACTGCTAAATTGTTTTCCAAAGTGGCTGCATTGTTCTACCTTTCCAACACTGATGTATGAGGCTTCTAAATTCTATACATTCTTACTCATTATCTCTCTCTCTCTTTTTTTTTTTTTTTTTTTTACTGGAGCATGGCTCAAGCATGAGGCCTTAAGTTCAAGAGGAAGGAGAGAGGGAGGAAGGAAGGAAGGAAGGAAGCTAGGAAGCTATGAAACTGTACTCTTTGACTTTTGTTTTTGCTGTGCTGGTGATTGAGCTCACCTGATGATTGCTAGGCACGCACTCTACCATTGAGCTACAAGCTTAGCCCAAGTTGTAAGATTCTTTACACATTCCAGCCGTAAAACCGTTACCACATACGTTATTTAAGCATTTTTCTCATCTTGTGGTCTCTCTTTTCACTTCCTTGCTAGTGTTCCTTTGATGTTGTTTTGGATGGGAGTGGAGTTTGAACTCAAGGCTTCACAGCAGGTGCTATACTGTAGTGCTCCTTTGAAATGTGAATTTTTTTTTAATTAAGTTCAGTTCATCTATTTTTTTCTTATGTTGCTTATGTTTTAAATGTCATATTGAAGAACTCATTGCCTAATCCCAGGGCTCAAAGATTTACACCTTGGCTTTCTTGTAGGAATTTTGTAGAATTTACCTCTCACCTGTATGTCTGTAATCAGTGAGAGGTCACTTTTGTGGTGTAAGGTGGTTCCACTTCCACTTCAGTTGTTTCTCGTTTGGTATGTAATTGCCCAGTACCATTTGTTGAAGGGACCGTTCTTTTCCCAATAGGTGATCTTGGCCCCCTTGTTGAAGACTGGCCACCTGCAAATGCATGGGTTGCTTCTAGGCTCTGTGCTCTTAATGACCGTGTGTTCACCTTTGCACCACCACCACAGTCTCGGTCATTGTGCCTTTACTTTGGATAAGTTTGAAACTGTTACGCGAGTCCAACTTTTTTTTCGAGATTGGTTGGCTGCTATGGATTCTTTGCATTTCTATGTGAATTTTAGGATCAGCATATCAATTTATGTTAAAAAAAACATGGTGAGGACAACTAGGATTTGATAGATTATCTTACATTAATTA